GAAGTTTGCACTAAATTAAGTATTTCCTTGCTTCAGCAAGGCAAACATAGGCAAAGTCCCATTTCTGTCTCTTCATTTTATACTGTATTTCTTATTCTGATACTCTGGTCCTTTGATGTTGTTTAGCATTAGCATTGAGAGCAGCCCCAAGGAGAAAGACTTGGAGGTGTTGGTTGATGAGAAGCTCAACACGGCCCAGTAATGTGCACTCAGAACCCAGAAATCCAAACATCCCAGGCTGCATCCAAAAGCAGAGAAGGAGGCCATGAAGATGCTCAGAGGGTTGGAGCAGCTCTCCTATGGCACAGGCTGAGAGAACTGGGGTTTTTCAGCCTGCAGAAGAGTAGGCTCTGGGGGAAGACCTTAGAGCACCTTCCAGTACCTAAAGAGATCCTGCAAGAGAGCTGGAGAGGGACTTTTTACAAAGGCACGCAGTGACAGGACAAGGGGAGCAGCTTTAAATGGAAAGAGGGCAGGTTTAGATTAGATCTGAATCAAATCCTTTCTTTAGGAAGAAAGTCTTTACTGTGAGGCAGTGGAACAAGTTGCCTAGGAAAGTTGTGGATGCCTCATCCCTGGAAGTGTCCAAGGCCAGGCTGGATGGGGCCTTGACCAGTCTGGTCCTGTGGAAGGTGTCCCTTCTGCTCATGGTCAGGGGGAAGTGGAACTGGATAATTTTTAAGGTCTCTTCCAACCCAAACCACTCTGTGTGTGTGTGTTTCTCTCCCTGTGTCTCTGCAGCCTTCATTATGTTCTTGTGTCTCTCTTGATCACCTGAATTTGTTATTGCCTTCACCTATCACAGTTGGATGGATAGAGTCCCAAACAAATACCCTCTTTGCTCTAGGGCTGTCGATGCAAATCTCCCATTCCCTTGTTGCAGTTTATCGTTTGCAAGCTGCAGACAGAACTACATTCATGTGACATGGAGAGCAGAAACACAATTGGTTTTGAGCTGTATCAAAGAAAAGACACTATATAATATCACATAAAGTTTGACTCCTTTTCAAAAACTCCTTCTTTTCATTATTTCCTTCAGGGAATAATTGGGAATGTCTTGATGTGGTTACTGCATTTTCTTCTTTGATATGTGCACATACAAGATGATGTCCTCCCACAAAAGAATTTTTGCTTGAAGAAATTAAATCCCCAAGTATGTCTAAATGAATAAATCATTTCTAAATGCATCTGTATTCATGAGTCATATGACATGAACTAGGCAAAATACGACTGCATGAAAGCAAGTGGTACAATAAATATGCCTTGGAAAATAGCCAGTTGAAAAATTTCAAAACCTTGTTGTGATGGCAAATTTCAAATGTTTAACAACTTCAAAAGGAAATGCAAATTTTCAAAGCCTTTTTTCAGTGTGACATAATTTGTCTGCTGAAGACACCCTGTTGAAAGTTAGCACTGGTGGCTACAACCTCTGCCACGTACCTTGCATGGACATGAAGCACAGACCCAGCCTAGTCAATCCTGCCTCTCCAAGGATGTAGTCTGCTCAAGCAGAGCATCACCCTGTCATGGCTATACAATTTCTGGCTGTAGAATGGGCGTTGTTTGGTGCTAGCATGAGTGACTGTGCTCAACAAATGTAGAAATACCTGAGAATTTTCTGACTTCCAGAAAGGAAGAAATATTGAACCCCTGAAAATCAGGCTTCACTAAGGGCATCTCAGGCACTGTGCTCAAATATCAAAGTATCCCTAGTATTTATTACCCTATAGAAAGCAAGGCCATCAATTCTCATTGACATTGAAGAATTGTTTGTAACCTGCAACATAACAAAGCTATCAGATTTTCCAGAAAAGGTTTTGTGAGGTTGTATTCATTAATCTCATTAAACCCTGGTGTTGTTTCAAATGGTTTTGTTCAATGTTGCTCAATGTTTAGGTTAAGGTATTTATTGTATTCTTTCTGATCATTTTTTAGCCTGTCTCTTGGACAAGTCTTTGCTTCTGTTTAGCTGAGGAATTGCTGTTTTTAAATGATTGACATATATTTATAATTTTAGCAATGCCAGGTGTTTAGCAGTTCCCAGGTGTTATCCAAGTTTATTCCAGAAGATCTAAGACCTAGCCAATATAATGAATCACCTTTTTTCCTTTTTTCTTTTTTTCCTTTTTTTCTTTTTTATTTTTTTCTTTTTTCTTTTTTCTTTTTTCTTTTTTCTTTTTTCTTTTTTCTTTTTTCTTTTTTCTTTTTTCTTTTTTCTTTTTTTCTTTTTTTCTTTTTTTCTTTTTTTTAATAGGAAATGGGAAAGGCTTAAAAGAAGTATCTACCTAATACCAGGCACATGCCCAAATGTCAGATGGGGCCTGGGGCATAAAGCATAGGGTCCTGTCCTGGGTGGCTCTCACTGATGATCCCAAACAGCCTCATTTCTTATCCAGGTCAGCTGAGAAGGCAGCAGAAAATGTGGGGATGAATCCCAGACCTGCTCTGGAAGCACATTACAGTGAGACATCCCTTTCCTGAGATGGCTGCCCCAACTTCCCAGGCACTCAAACAACCCCTTCACCCCACCCTTTATCCATTTTGTAGCCCTCTGGTGCTCAAATTCCTTCTGGCAATGTAATACACTTTCCAACACGTTATGTAACATTCATGTTTGTCACCTTTTAACCCCTAGATGTGGGGTTTTCTTTTGATCCATGTTTTCCAACAAATCTAAGAGCAGGCTGTGTCTAAAAGAGTAAAGACGCATTTCTTTTGAAGCTATGTATTCATTTTGTTCAATTAATATTGTGTGGAGAGCATGCTGGTGGATTTTGTGTGTATACATTACTAGAAACCAAAATTACTGTGTGCTGGAGATAAAATTAGCTTTTGAAATTCCTTTTCCCCTTTAAAATAAAAATAGAAGGATCTGCCTTTAATTGACCACCTCAGTCATCACAGAGGCTTCCTGTGTGCAGAGGCTTTGCTTTTAATATCTGTTTTCCCTTGACTTTAAAGAGTAGTCTTTATTTGCAAGTTTATTATAGAAGCGTTCAAATTAGAGGTGGGCTGAAACCACAAAGTTTGTGTCCGGATCTGGATGCAACTTTCTGAAAGTTTGAAAGTCTAGGTTTTTGATTGTCCTGACCAGAGATTACAGAGGTGTCTATAAAGTTCAGTTTCAGAGCCACATCTCCTGGGTGTGGAAACATACCACTTCAGTTCGAGCTCTTTTCCCCAGTTTATTTCATAAATTTATGTGGTGGATTATTAGTGGTGTGACAGAAAGGAAGAGCTTCCCATTTTTTTAATTTTTTTTTTTTTCAGATGAGAAAAAAAATGTAAGCAGTCTTTGCCCAGACATATAACAATATGAATAAGTGTTGTTCAACACAAGATGGTCGTCACACTGAAGCCCTACTCAGCAGGGTCTCATGATATAATTTACACTTTCTGTCGCAGGGCTGGGAGAAGGTTCTGCTCTTCTTCACCCGGACAGCAGGTCCCACCCTCGGTCCTTGGAGAAGAGTGCCTGGAGGGCTTTCAAGGAGTCACAGTGCCATCATATGCTGAAACACCTTCACAATGGAGCCCGGATCACTGTACAGATGCCTCCCAATATTGAGGGCCACTGGGTCTCTACCGGGTAAGGAAAGATAAAACAAGATGCTTGGGATGGGGAAAAGAAGATGGTAAAGAAGCAGAGAGGGAAGGATGAATATTCCCACTTTCAACAGCAGAAATATTTTAATATGGTGATGCTCTAAATTCCAAATGCTCTCTATATGTTTATAACAGCATTATGTACATTAAAATAGCATGCCATAAAGCTGTCTTGATGAATCAATTTATTGCCTGGATTTTAAACAGCATGCTGTGAACATCTTTAAATCTCCCTGAATAGGAAGGAGCCTACCAAGCTGCCAAAATGGATGCTTGTTCAAACATAACATTGCACTGTATTTGTCTCCATGCCTTAAATCCATTGAACGAGTCCTTGTTTTCAGATCATGTGTCTAGCACAGGTTTTATCAGCAAAAGAAATTAAGAAGCTGTATTTCACTAGTCCTGTTACTCTTTATACCTGATGACTGGTATTTCAGGAAGCTCTTCTGCTTTCTGTGTCTCAGCAGGCAATATTCACATGCTCATGGGAGGTGACTTGTAGTGGGAAATACTGGGTTTATTTAACAGGAGTATATTTCAGGATGAGAGGAAATGGTCTCAAGTTACACTAGGGGAGGTTTAGATTAGATATTAAGAAAGATTTCTTCACTGTAAGAGTGGTCAGGCATTGGAATAGGCTGCCCAGGGCAGTGGTGGAGTTAACATCTCTGGAAGTATTCAAAAGACATGTGGATGTGGAACTTGGGATGTGGTTTAGTGGTGAACATTGTGGTGCTTGGTTAATGGCTGGACTCAATGGTCTTAGAGGGCTTTTCCAGCCTTAACAATTCTACAGTCCTGTTTATATTAGGCAGTGTAGAGGTGACAAGGGGAACAAGTTTGAAGGCACAGAAGAGCTCCCTACAGGAAGTGAAATTTAAGTGCCATTTACATTTTCAGAAAAAAAAAGGGGAGGGGGGAGAGAAAGAACCCACAAAACCTGAATATTGTATGGTCCATATTCAAGCTAAATAGAAGTTTTGAATTAACAGAAATTTGCATTAACTGCCACCCCTGTTGAATGTTTGAGTGGAAAAGCTCAGGACATGATCCTGCATATCCACAGCAGACCAGAGATCATGGAGTTACACAGAGAAGCTTCCAGAGCAGCTTATAAGCCAGTTCTTTGTGCTGTTCCCTGGATGTATGGAGTTTCACTTTCTGATGTTATCAGTCATTCTGCTAAATCTACCGTGCGAAAGAGCAATAGATGTTTAATAAGCTGCTAGTATTTTCAGTGAAGACTTGAGTCACATGGTGGTCCCTAGACAAAAGCCAAAAGCAAAACACGATTCAAAGTACTTAAGCCTATGAGATAAAGCCTTTAGATACGATCACCACTAGATGCTTCACCATAAGATGAAGCAGTGTATTAATAGCAGCAGAGGGAATTGCTGGATAATCAGCAGGCCACAGATGCCTAGTTCCTATTCACTCCCATTCCTGCTGAAGGGGTATTAGCACCCAGATGTCTCTGTGAGCCCAAGGGGGTCTTGTTGCCTGTAGTATACATGATGTGCCACTTTGTTGAGATTTTGTTTCCACTTTCTTTCCTCCCCACAGCTGTGAAGTCAGAGCAGGCCCAGAGTTCATCACGAGATCTTACAGGTTCTACCACAACAGCACATTCAAGGCCTATCAGTTCTATTACGGTGGCAATCGCTGCACAAACCCCATCTACACCTTAGTCATACGTGGCAAAATTCGTCTCCGACAGGCGTCCTGGATCATCCGGGGGGGCACTGAGGCCGACTATCAGCTCCGCAACATACAGATCATATGCCACAATGAAGCAGTAGCCAAAAAATTAAGTGAGTTGGTGAACCAGACGTGTCCTGGATTTATCCCAGAAGATAGTCCCTGGGAGCAGGATGTGAGCTATGATTTGCTGAGAGAGGAGAACGGCTGTGAATGCACCAAGGCTCTGAATTTTGCCATGCACGAGCTCCAGCTGATCCGTGTGGAGAAGCAGTACCTGCACCATAACTTAGACCACCTCGTGGAGGAACTATTCCTTGGAGACATTCACACTGATGCCACTCAGAGGAGGTACTATCGGCCCTCTAGTTACCAACCTCCTCTTCAAAATGCCAAGGTACGTGGTGGGGGGGTTTGCATATATCCTCTCTATAAGATACTGCTGACAAAGCCCAAATCACCTAAAATGTAGATGTGCTTCTAATACAGGGGGGTGATTACAGCTTCAATTAACAGAGGATAACTCACTTTGTGAGAACAGTAACTTTGCTGTGGTTTATGTGACTGCAAATATGCAAATAAAGTAATCTCGTGAAGTAAACTCAACAAAGGCCACTCTGAAGATGGAATCATAGACTTGTAGGCAGAAGTGGGAGTGGATGGCTGGGACCATGGCCAGCTCTAGACTAGCAGCTGAGAGGAAGGTTTCATACAGCACTGAGATAGCAGAGGAGGAACAATCATCAGTAGATACTTCTATAGCTGTGAGGGGAGCAGGAAGAGAGGGAATGAAATACGAATATCAGCATATGGAAGTTGGGTGATCCATAACCAGGAGAGGAGACAAGGAAATTGGAAGGTAAACACATGGATGGGGCAGCATGATGGGAAAAAACTGATGGATCCAGTCTTAGGCACACACATTAATGAAATGAAAATCAGGTGAATTTTAAATGGGGCCCTAATTCCATTTGATAATTCAGTTTTCAAAGGGACCCCAAAGTGCCCTCAGCTTCATCAGGAACAGATCCAACCCATAGGAAGCTAAATAAAACTCAACAGGAAGCACAGGCACTGATGGCCTGTAGCAGGAAGGCTGCCATAGGTCTTTCCCGGTGACATTTCAAAGGCAGGCAGCTATTGGAACCACATAGCCAGGTGCTGCTGCCGTCAGTGTGCTCCAGCTGGGCATTGCCACAGCACCTCTTCCAGATAATTACCACCATTTTTAATCATCTCATCACAAATGGTTCAAAAATCAGTTACTGCTTATCAGCAATAGCAGGAAATGCAACAGGAGCAGGGACAGTTTTGATGAAAAAGCCTTGGCTTTCCCTTCCATTCAAAACCATCTGCCCTGGGTTGTTTCTGTCTCCTGTGAAAAAAAATATTTTAGTAGGTTAGGTCCTTATGTGATCTGCCTTTAATTGCTTTGTAGCCTGGCCTAGGGATCATTTTAATCCACAGTTGAATGTTTTGCTGTAATTGATTCAAACAACCACATCAACCTTCACTTTACTGACCTGGGAGTGAGGGTTCTTTGCTAAATCTCTTCCTTGCAGGTATCTTTAGATAGAAGTTATCAGACACCAGCTATATTGTATCTTTTCTAGAAAATATTGTAGATCTTTTTCCAACCACTTGAAACAGAGACAGAATCTTGATTTAAATCTCTGTAGCTGAGTATTATTTCTGGTCTAATCTAGGTGTTTTATTCTGGCCTGATATGTAAGATAGTAACCTTGTTACCTTGTAGTAACCAAGTTACCATGTAGTAATTTCATTACAGTCAGAGCAGTCAGATGTGTTTTCAGCCAGCTTTAGAAAATTAAGATTGTTGTCCAGGCCTGCTGTAATTTTAAGGTAATGATTTTCCTGCCTGTCTGTTCTGCTGCTGTAGCATCCCTTTTTCTCTCTAAAATATAGTGGCTCTAAAATAGAATGTTCAAATTTAAGGGGCCAAATTTTGCATATATGTCTCATGTTTCTTGAGACAGGTCGGCTAAGAGAAGCTGGGCCTGCTGATACTCGGCTTTCAGCATGATAGTAAACAGCAATACCCCTAAAAAATTAACCTTTGCTTTAGCTGCTGTGAAAGATTCCAGGATGTGGGTTTGTTGGTTTGTACCTAAGCATGAAGATCCCTATACCAACAGGTTCTCAACAGACTCTCTGACCTAGTGTTTGCCAAATGTAGGAAGAATAGTAACAGAAGTGCTTTTTTCTTTTTTTTTCTTGAAGTCCAGGCAAACATACCGTTGAAAGGTTATAACCCTTCCTTTTTGAACTCTTTTCCTTTTTTAATTGTTGCTCCACTGGGACCCAGCTGAAAATGAGTTTAAATGCTAAATTGAGTTTAAAACTACAAGTCACAGACTCCTCTGGAAACTGGACACCATGAATAAATAGAAACGTTAAATCAACTTGTTTTTTTAAGGTTTCTACAGTCATACCAAGAGGTTGTGGGGGCCAGGAAATTGCTTCTGAAGTGAATCAGGTGTATTGTGTGGAATCTTTCATTTAAGGCTTTCTTCATTTCCTTTTTATTTATTTATATTTTAGACTCATAAAGGCCTGCCTAAAATAAGTTGAGAGGATTCACATTTTGAGTTAAATTTATAGTTAAGCCTCTATATAGAAGAAAGTTCCACCCAGCCCAAGAGTTTACACAGCCTGTGAGTTGGATGTGGTAGCCACATTCATTACTTATGTGGTTGAAATGAATGGTAATTAAAAGCAAATGATTGCTGGATATGTCAGGAATGCCAAAGCCACATGATCAGAACTTTAAACAAACAGAATTGGACCTTATCCAAATTCCTGCAGCGATTTCACCATGGGATGGTAAATCAAAAGGGCTGTCCAAAAACCAGACAGCTTTATGCTGAGCTACAAATCTGAATAAATTCACAGATTACCGTATCTCAAGTGTTCATATAAAATCAGGGAGCTTTTAAAAACATATAATATGTCATCTCTTAAGGCTTTACAAATTCTCTTAGATAAGAGCATACCTTAAACAAATTCCTCATGTAAAATACATGGAAGTTCTTGAGTGTAGATGATGAATGGGTCACAATATAGGTTTATCTTGTCTGTTTTCTAACCTGGCTGAAGATACTAGTTAGGACTGGCTGATGAATGGAGAGGAACATCTTTGATGTCTCTTGACATTGCAAGTTTATCAAGTGATTCAAGCTATCACACAAGGAGCTTCTTCAGCCAGCATGAGAGAGCACATGGGTGGGAAGGGCAAGATGGGGGAACTGCTTGGCCATCATCACATACATTACACAAAATGTTCCCAATTAGGACAACACCAAGGAGGCTGCCTTGATTGGTTGTAATATCACAAAAGTATACAGGGATTTGTAGCATGAAGGAAGGCTTGAATGCAATATTCTTTCTCTGTGCAGGACAGAAAATTTCTTCAGAAGTGTCTGCTTTCAACTACAGAAAATGCAGTACTGGGAGACTTACTTCACATGTAATTGCCTCAGCAATATTGCTTTGTAAACAAAGAACTCCTTGTGCTGTTTTCTCATGTGACAGAGTAACGGGAAATATCAGAGCAGGACTGTGATGACCGGTCATTCTGGTTAGATCATTACTTAGGAATAAGGCTGACATGGTCTGGAACATCACAAGAAACCTAAAAATTCCTAGGATAACCTTCACTCTGTCCTGCTCAATCAGTTGCTGTACACACTCTTTCACTGAGATGTTTTTCCTTTAAAATGTGACTCTAATGAATCAATTCTGTATTACAACTTTATTTATCTCTGGGACCTACCTGACTTCCAGCAGCACCTGGAATTTGCAGTTGATACAGATTCAGTGTGTGGAGGTTGGTGATTGTGCTTTCCTTTAGCCAAGAAAGAGCAAAGTGTGCCAAGTTTTCTGTGCTTTTCAAAAATTAGAGTCTTCATCTCTTTGAAACACAGTGACTTCATCTCTAGGGGAATGCTATGTACTTGTGAAGCTCCCAGGGAAATGCAATTGTAAGTTAATAAATAGATGTTAAACATGTGAAGCGCCTCAGAGAAATATGCAAAACTCAACCAAAAAGTACAATTTTGGCAGACAGAACTCCTTTGTTTGCCTGAGTAGTGCCACTAACTTCTACATTAAGGCAACACTTAAAGGGTGCCTTTTGTCCATTATTACTTGAAAAGGGCTCTTGGCTAGGAAAACTATGAGGGGAAGCAAAGTAGGAATATTCAGAAGAATGCTCAAATGGGTTAATTCCAGGTTTATGAACAATAACAGTGTGTGTGGTGTCCTATGGAGATGAGGAAGCAAGCAGCTTTTGGCCAAGGTTGGCCCTTGCCGTGCTCGGCAGCGCTGTCGGCCGTGGCCCTACGCCTTTGAAGCTTACACATCTGCACTTACCACTGTCTGCTCTGCAGCTGCAGTAAAGCCTGTCCCAGCTCAAAATGCAGGAATCAAAATTAACTATTTAGCCTAGTGAAATAAACCCCAGGCCTTCAGGTCAGCTCAGTATGTGTATCTAAACTACTGACACCTTCCTTACGGTTGGCATCTAAGCACAGTGGCTTCATCTTTTGTAAAAGGGCAGGGAAGACTCAGTGGTAATATTGCATGGTTTAGAGGACTATATAGGATGCTTTTTAAAGGCATAATAAATACATAAGGCAGGTTTATTTGAGAATACTTTATTCTTGAAAGTGGACATTCAAGCTCTCCCTTCAGGTTTTCCAGAAATTATTTTTGTTAATACTTCATAAAACAGAAATGTCACCATAATTTAGTATCATTTTAATGGGACAGATGACATGCAAGCATATTCATCTGTGAAGTCTGGTTTTCTCTTTGTTCTTGTCTTTTGCCCAGGCTAAAGTAATTTATACCAGAAAAGAACAACCAGAAGACTTTTGCATTTCATGTTGGTTTTGTTTATTTCAGTTTTATGCAGGGTTGTGCAACAGAATCAACATCATAGATCAGACAGTTGTGTAATAGTCGTGCCTTGAGATTCCTTCACTATCTTTCCCTTCATAAGAGCAGTTAATAAAAACCATTCCTCAATATCTTAGAATATATGGGGCGCATTTACAGATAAATCTGAGCATATCTCCACCCTCCTTCCTGCTGCAGCACCTCTGTTCCCCACCAAAAGAAATATCCATCTGACAACTCTGCAAAGGAGTTACTGCTCTCTCCAGCATTTTACTTGCCTCAAGATTTTTAATTAAAGTTTTAAATCTTCGTTTTGCTTCATTCCATTTGGCAGGCTGAGTTATAACTGTGTCAGCCGTGCTTGTCAACTCCCCAGAGCCAGGCTAATGCACATTAGTCAACTCAGCTTCATATGAGGTCATGCAAAGCCTGCAAATTATCACTTTTGTACTGGAGAGGATTTTTGGTCATTTTTTAAAGTGTTGTCTTGGTCTGCAGTTATCTACAGTGGTGGAGGAGCGAGCCTGATACTATCCTGAGCAATTCATAAACGTGTCCTTCCTGTGGACTTGGCTCCTCGGCTATGTGAAGCAAAGCCATCCAACTTTTTTTTGTTGAGCTGGAAGCATTTCCTTGAATTGATGTTCTCCCAAGAATTTCCATTTATACTCATCCTGGGAGCGCTAGTTACTAACACTAACACCTGGTACTGTGTTTCCTTGCGTGGTGAGGTTTAAAACATTCTGACCAGGCATGACTCATTCCAGTCCCACCTAGTGCTGCCCGTGACATGTGGTATTTGGGAAGTGTGCAAGAGCATAGCTGAGTGTGCCTTTTCTCTCCCCACTTCTTCAGCACTTCCCCTCACGGTAATACATATGTAATGTAAATGCATTCGCATGGCAGGGGTTTCCTACGCCAGCTTTTGTGGCTGTTGGCCCCTACAACATCCCGGGATACTGGTTAGATCTGTACTGCACACCCAGTTCAAGCCTGAGCCCATGCTTGAGGAATTCTGATGCCTGGTCCTTTGTCTCACATCTCCCTGCAACAAGGATATGCTGGGTACAACATGACAGACCCAGTCACATGCTCTGTGATGTCAGATGTCAGCCAATGTCAGATAATTAGTCCTAGACAGCCATAGAATTCCACAGAACTTAATAGAAAATTAAATTGTGCTGGGAGGGTTTATGTTTCCAACTATCCATAGCAATTGGAAAAAGATGAAGGAACCTCATCCTTGTTTGCTTTTTTTTTTTTTTTTTTTTATTAGAATCCCCCTTGTTTGGCTTCCAGTGCTCTCTGGCCTTACTACCATGTCAGCTGAAACAGCAGGAGAGAGTGATAAGAAAAAAATGTTAGTGGAAATTCTCAGATCCTAAGCTATTTTCTCCCCAGCTACAAAAACTGAGTTTTCAGCCAGAGATTCAGGCTTGTTTTGGCACACATGGCATTGTGGATTAGTTCAGAAATTGCCTTTAAAGAAACACCTGGAAGGATGAGGAATGGTGACACTATGGCTTTGGCACTGCAGAACTGCGAAGAGCCACCCATCATGATAAGGGATCTTCCAGCTATTTCAGGGCCCAGTCCTCCCAGCAAGGTCCCACTACTAAAAATATTGCACTGTGCACATAAGATAATCAGAACATAGAACCCATGTTCATCCTGTCCTCTGCTTATTTTATTGCTTTTATTTTATGTCATGCCCTAGTGAGCTTTTTATTAGAGAGTTTTTGATAATGTTTGGACTCAAACATCCTCTGTCTCTGTTCCTTATTTTCTTTGAATGCCTGTTTTTAGAAAATAACCTTCCTCTGAAACACATGGAAAAGGAGTGATTTGCAAAGCCTCAGATAGTGTAATTAAGAGCCAAGAGCAGCTGACCTAAAAAAGCAAGAGTGAAATATACAGTCAATTGTTAAACATAAATTACTCCATAATTAAGTCAAATTGCCTCATAACAGAACTAGCTTTTTCCCTTGCCCATTACTTGGGCAAAAATCATACTGAGACAAGTTTATACGTGGCATATTCTTCCACTAAGAAGTTTATAATGTGAAAGATAGTATCACAGCAAAAAAGGTTTATGTGGGCATCGATTCAAATGCTGGTCCCAGGAAAGCGATGCGTTCAGAGGACATCCACGTGAGGGGCCAGAGCCAGCTGGTGTCTCACCACCAAAGGGATGTTTCTGCTTCCTCCCTCACCACCCCAGCTTTTCCCTGCTGCACTCACTCTTCGATGCAAAAAGTGCCTGGTTCCCTCAGCCCCTTCTTTTGGGCACACCTTAGCAGCCCAACTGGCCAGACCTTCACAGCTGGTGCAAAGCCTTTAGAATTAGAAGGGCTGCACAGAGTTACAGTAGTTCAGGACCACAGTGGTCAAAGAGCTAGGTGAACTACAGACAAGTAACAGAGAGTTAACAAGGACCTTCCTAGAGTTTGCCAAAGAACTCACCTCTGCTCACAGTGTAATGGTGGCCCGTGGTGACCAAAAAAGAAAACAGTCTGAGTTGTTGTTTGGTTTTCTTTTTGAACAAGGGTGACAGAAATCACAGGTTCCCAGATTAAATTAGCTTGGTTCACAAATGGTTTTTGGAGGACAGATTCCTGGGAGAAAAATGTGAATATAAACCAAACCAATCTACTGCTCTGCCAGGGTTTCCTCTGGGACATGATAGAAGCTTTGAAATTCACTTCAGCAGAAAAGGGACTGTAGCAGAAGTTCTCTCCTACTATTGACAGATTCAGCTCATATAAGCTATGTTTAGTTTTATAGCACTGTCTTTTTATCGCTTTCTGGCTTCACTTTATGTGAGTGGGGCAATCCCAGCCATGAAGTTACTGTCATCAGTGCCCTTAATGTGTCAGGGAACAGTGCAGCTAGTCTGCCCCATGGCAGGACAGAAACGTGTGGTTAAAAGGCACTGGCATCTTGATCTCTGGGGAGAAGAAGCATTATTTCTATTAAAATTCAAAGATACTTTTTGTATATATCTGCACTAACTTCACCAGTTGCAGTTAAATTACTCAATTAAATGTTTGTATTTCATTAAGGTACTAATGGACCTTGCACCTGCTTGTAGAATTTAGCTGAAAAAAACCCCATATCTTAAAATCTGGTAACAAGCTCCACAGGGAAAGTACTACATCCACTTTAAGAACATGTTGGCATGTGGTCTCCAGAAGACCATATGTTTTGGGGTGGAAAGACTCTGGGGAGGTCACCAAGTCCAACCTTCTTCATCCTCAGAGCAGGGCTATTGGCCAGCACTGGTCCAGAAGAACCAACACAGTTATCTTGTGCCTCCATGTCTCAATGACACTCCTCGATCCTTCCTGAGAGAAGGGGATGCACTGGGGGGGTTACTACATCCTCCACATTCAAGCTGTGAAGTGTTTTCCTGAGATGCATTGAGTTGAGAGCTAAAGCTCAACATGCAGCCAATCTGGGAGATTTATAGAAATACTTTTTCTTTCCAGCCCTCTTTTCTGAGGCCTCTGTGAGCACCCTCCATAACATAAATGCTCATATTCACTGTTCTTACTTTAAAGTCCACATGAGCTGCTGTGAAGTCAGCATTTCTCCACTCACTGCCTTCAGCTCTGGCTCACTTTAGGGGTGACATTCACACAATCTTCATTAGCGCCCTGAATTCCTCCAATAAAATGACCATAGGTAGCTTCAGAGAATCAACGTACAACACCCACAATATATTTATTTTATACAGAGGGTTTATATTTGGCCCATCCCAGGCCAGACAGTCATCCAAAGTCTTTTCACCAATAGTGAAATCAATGAAATGGCTGCTGTAGTCTATGTCCCTGGGATGTAGAGTAATACAGGTCTATGTGCAAAGTAACTATAAATTGTGTTGCTCAGGAGGTGGAAGCCTCAGCCTGAAGTTTCCTCCACTCCTGCCACAGACTTGGAGCCTGCAGATGGCTCCCAGGACACCCCAGGTAGTCACATTTGGGGCTGGGGTACTTGGCTGCTTGAAGCTGCTGCATAGCCCACAGTGGTGAGCCACCCTGGACCACTGTTCCTGCTGGAGAGGGTCATAAAGCTCATAAAGTTCAAAAAGCACTGGTTACTGTTCTCCCAAGGTGCCATCCAAAACAAAAGAAGTCCTTATGACACACATGTTTATCTACAGTACCTAAAGAAAGACAGATGGATAAGGCTTCAGCAAATATATTGATTTCTGACACAAGCGTTCCAAAATCCCTATCATAGTAAATTACCATCTGCCAGCTTCTTGTATGATCTGAAGGATAAAGTCAGCCTTTTCTAGATCCTGAACTAAAATGTTGATTTCAGATAAATTCAGACCAGGGAATTAAAGTCTTAGATGCTCCTCTGCTGTGCAATGTTACACACAAAACCAAATGGTACCACTACTAAGATCAGAAATGATGATGCATTCCTTAAAATCTGGAGCTGGCGTCACTTCAGCATGAAGTGGCTGGCCTGATGCATTGCTCTGTATCCCAGGTGATGCCTACTTAGCATTTCTCTGCTTTGTTTCAGAACCACGACCGCACGTGCATCGCGTGCAGAATCATCTACCGCTCGGACGAGCACCACCCACCCATCCTGCCCCCCAAGGCAGACCTGACCATCGGGCTGCACGGAGAGTGGGTGAGCCAGCGCTGTGAGGTGCGGCCAGAGGTGCTCTTCCTGACTCGACACTTCATCTTCCACGACAACAACAACACTTGGGAGGGCCACTACTACCACTACTCCGACCCCATCTGCAAGCACCCCACCTTCACCATCTATGCCAAGGGACGCTACAGCCGGGGAGTCCACTCGTCCAAAGTCATGGGTGGCACGGAGTTTGTGTTCAAAGGTAAAGCAGCTTGATACAATGGGGAGGGAGGTAGTTATGGACCAAAGCAGTTTGCTCATAATGACTTGACTGCTGATGATTTCAATCTGTGATTTTCAGGAGTTCATCATTTCTTGGGAAGTTTGCAGGCATTGTGTGAGTGCCCAGCCAAACTATATATACAGCTATATACACTATATGCAGCTACTATATATACAGCTGCATGGCATTTCACACCGCTGAAGCAATATTCATTTGAGGCAGAGGCCTTTAAGTACACACAAGAAAGTAAGATTTCACATTACTTAGTGATTGTGAAGTCCAGTGGCCAAATGTCAAGCCTCTAAGAGAAGTGGTTAGATCTGTGTCCTAGGGCTCCTTCAGTAGAGAGAGAAAAAAGCGTCTTCAGAAGGCATTTCAGATCTGAAGCAATATAAATAATTTTCTGTGTAAGACAGATGCAGCAGCATGTATCTTTTCATGTGCTCCCAAGGGGCCCTCAAGCAATAAGGGTGTCCCTAGAGACAGCTCTGATTAAAGATGCCAGAGCACAGACAAGATGTATCCAACCCAAACTCATTGAGTACTTTGGAAAGCAGCTCTCGGTGGTGACACCACCCATGGCTGAGAAGCTTTCCTGTGCAAACAGCCCCATGGCACCCTGCTTAAAAAGAGCTCAGGGGCCTGAACCACTCACACAAACAAACATCTCCAAAACACAGCATCCCACCATAGCACCAGCCCCAGTGGAGCCTCTGGTAGCCTCAAGCTTCTGTAGGCTTCTCCTTATTTCAATTACATTAGAAGCATAAAGTATCTTGTTTGGGTCTAATTTAGAAAAGCATCCAACTAGAAATAATTTACTAATCTGAGATTTTTGTAGGAGGTGGGAGATACCCTTGCCTGTCAGAACTTTGGCTCTTTCAAGCTGCATGTGCATCATGTCCCAGCTCAGCTCCTGGCATGAAATCCAGTTTCTGCTTG